TGGACTTCTACTATTCAAGGAACGAGTGTGTGTGCCATCGGATGAGGAGCTCCGAAAATCTATCCTTGAGGAGGCTCACTCATCTGCGTATGCCATGCACCCGGGCGGTACAAAGATGTACCGGGACTTGAAAGAAAGTTACTGGTGGTCGGGGATGAAGAGAGAGATTGCTGAATATGTGAGCCGTTGCCTTACTTGTCAACAGGTTAAGGCAGAGCACCAACACCCAGCAGGGTTACTACAACCACTTACCATTCCAGAATGGAAGTGGGAGCATGTCACCATGGACTTTGTGGTGGGTCTACCACGGAAGGTTAGGAACTACGACGCAGTATGGGTGGTAGTCGATAGGCTGACCAAGAGCGCTCATTTCCTACCTATCAACACTACCTATACGCTCGAGCGGTTGGCCAAATTGTACACAGATGAGATTGTGAGACTGCATGGGGTTCCAGTTACTATAGTATCGGATAGAGACCCACGGTTCACATCACGGTTCTGGCCTAAGTTCCAGGAATCCATGGGTACGAAATTGAGGTTTAGCACCGCGTTTCATCCTCAAACGGATGGGCAATCTGAACGAGTGATTCAGATCTTGGAGGACATGTTAAGGGCATGCGCCTTGGAGTTCCAGGGAAGCTGGGACAATCAGTTGGCTTTAGTGGAATTCGCCTATAACAACAGTTATCAGGCAAGTATAGGCATGCCCCCATACGAAGCATTGTATGGGAGGAAATGCCGGACACCATTATGTTGGGACGAGGTCGGCGAGGCTAAGCTCGAGGGCACCGAGTTAGTCGAGATCACTAAGGAGAAGATAAAAGTCATACAGGATAGGCTCAAGGCTTCCCAAGACCGGCAGAAGAGCTATGCTGATAAACGTCGGAGGACGTTGGAGTTTGAGGTTGGTGACGAGGTATTTCTGAGAGTATCACCTTGGAAAGGGATCATCAGGTTCCTCAGTCGGGGTAAGCTTAACCCACGTTACATAGGTCCGTTCAAAATCCTTGAAAGGATTGGGGTTGTAGCATACCGACTTCAGTTGACCCCAGAATTTGAAAAGATTCATAATGTATTTCACGTTTCTATGCTCAAGAAGTATGTGCGGGACCCGTCACATATTCTTGAGAAACCACCGGTGGAAATCCGAGAAGACCTACGCTATACGGTGCAGCCGGTGAAAATCATGGCCGACAGGTAAAGAAGCTAAGGAGCAAGGAGGTGCCGATGGTAAAAGTACTTTGGAAGAGTGATCGTGTCGAGGAGCAAACTTGGGAAGTGGAGACCCTGATGAGGGAACAATATCCATTTCTGTTTGATTAGACACGTGGATTTCGGGGACGAAATCCCAAATAAGGGGTTAGAACTTGTAACACTGCCCCCAAGTATTTGTACTTCATCGAATTATGTATTGAACCCTGAGAAATGTATAAAAGCGTTTTTACGTGATTGTAAAATTTTATCATTTCTTTTACGTTAATAGTAAAATTCACGTGGGAGCCACACCGGAGGTGGGGCCGCTCGATATTATCGGGACCACATATTATATTAATCTTGGACTAGATAATATGAATGTGGTGGTGGATATCCTAATTGGGCCATGGAAATGGCATATAGTTGACCGGTTGGTCAAACGGGGCCAAATTATCGGTATCGGCAATTTATCAGATAACAGCCCAAAAAGGGATTCCGGAGATTTCTAAATTAAAGTTGGGGAATCATATTGATTCTAAGGTCCAATAAGTATTGGGAACAAGTGTTATATTTTATTTGACCCGATAAAATAAAATATACTTAAAACTGACCGGAAAATACAACTTTCGGGACTGATTGTACACTCGGGTACACAAAGGGTTGACCTCCCACATGAGTGGGGGCCAACCCACGTCCTTGGTCTGGAAAATATCAAGGGGAGCCGCATGGATCATGGAAAATATCAAACTGATTGGTAAGGAGACCAATCAAACCAACCAAGGGCCCCTCCTCACATTATTTTGGGCTATTGAGACAAAAGTGAGGGGTTCCCTCCATCCACCTCCAATCAGTTCGGCCATCCCACAAGAGAGGTGAGAGAAGCTCTGTAATACTCCTTTCCTTGCAGCCATTTTCGCACTTGAGCTAAGGAGGAAGGAGGGAAAAGGAGAAGAGGAAAAGTTGGTTTTGGAGAGGAAAACTTGTGTCTAGCAAGGTAAGGACTCCATTAATCCCATTTCTGATTTTTCAATACTCTTTTATGATCATTCAATCATATTTCACACCCTAGTATTGTTCTACACGTTGGGATGTGTAGAAAGAGGGGTTGGGAGGTGGTTCTAAGTCCAAGAATGGACTTAGAAGCCAAAGAACCGGTTCGTCGGAAAATAACCTTTTGAAGGTTATTTGTATTACTATGGATTTTATGATGATAAAACCTTGTTAGTAACTTGTCTAGGGTATTCAAGGAACTTTCACGGAGTTGTCGCCGGAGTTCGTTGAAGTTCGCCGGAGTTTCGCCGGAGCTAAATCGGGAAGGCTAGAACTTCATAAGCTTCATTAAGGTGAGAAGACGGCTTTATGCTTTATAACTTTTGCGTGAGGCATGAGATTACCTAAAGTAATCAAGGATATGTTTTGTGGAATGATTAAAGATAATCAAGTATTTGCTTATGCCATGATTTTGCATGAAACATAGTTGAAAAGCATGTTATGCAGGTTTGGTGATTAAAAATGTGATAACATATTTTGTGTGATGATCCAGGGATCCAAAGTGGTGTTTTTGGATCAAGGACATCAAGAAGTATATGTGTGTAAAATTTCAAGTTAATCGGGCTCCGTTTGGGTGGTCAAACGGGCGTTGACCACTAAGTCAACTGTCATACCCGATCGGGTATTGACACATACCCGACCGGGTATTTGTTGAAAATCAGCTTTGTGGACTACTGTCTCCTGTACTCGACCGAGTATGGGTTAATACTCGATCGAGTATTGGGTTATGCTCAAAACGGGCAGTTTTGAGCGGGTTAATGTGGGCCGTTCAGGTGGGACCCGCCCACGTTGGTTCCTAAGGATGGTTATATGACTATAGGGCTAGGTATTGTCCATAGTTGAAGGAACGAAAGGTTAGCCATATCCAGGTTAGGGTTTGGTAAGGATTTAGTTTGGGGTTGAGTATCCCCGGGACATTAGATGATCCTGAAACTCGGTTGGGGTTGAGCATCCGCGGGACTATAAATGATCCTGAAACTCGGTTGGGGTTGAGCATCCCCGGGACATTAAATGATTCTGAAACTCGGTTGGGGTTGAGCATCCCCGGGACTATACATGATCCTGAAACTCGGTTGGGGTTGAGCATCCCCGGGACTGCAAATGATCCTGAAACTCGGTTGGGGTTGAGCATCCCCGGAACATTTAATGATCCTGAAACTCGGTTGGGGTTGAGTATCCCCGGGATGCTAAATGCTCCCAAAACTCGGTAGGATATTATAAATGTAGAATGTAGCTGGTGAGCTAAGCATTCGGGAAAAGGGTGAGAAAGGTCAGGTAAGAACTTTATCTCTAAAAGACTCTTTGAATGAAATGACCTACGGGTCGAGTATTTTACATATATATACAGTATGTATCATTGGATGAATGAGTCATATATATATATATATATGTATGTATGTATGTATGTATGTATGTATGTATGTATGTATCACCCTATTTTTGGGTCTCGTGTCTGAAACATTAGTTATTCCTCATATAGCCTGCTTGTCACTAGTACTTCTATGGAGTACTGACCCCTCCGGGGGCCCTCACATTTTTCAGGTTGAGGTTAGAGTCCTACTACCTGCACCTTTGCCTAGGGTGATTGATCGAGAAGGAAGACGTGGTTCGTGCTTCCATTCTTATTTCAAATGTATAAACTGCTCATGGATTTTTGAACAATATTTTCATTAAAACAGTTGGGGGCCTGCGTGCCCGTGTTTGCCACGTGTGGCTAAGTATCAAACATTTTATTATCTCCGCATTTGTTTGATTATGATATTGATGTTGATTGTATGTGTTTACTAATCGATTTGGCAATAGAATCAATCGGACGCCTTGTACAACTCAATAAGGATGAACTGTTGTTCTTATCGGGTTGTACGGCGGTTGTCTACGTGGCTCAGATGCGGTCTGGGGCGTGACAATAAAACTATAAACTATAAAATATAAATTATAAAAAAAAATCTTTAACCGTCCCGACCCGACCTGTGACCCAGGCGGGTGGCCCGGCCCGAACCGGACCCGTCCTACCCTCGGGCCGGTCCCGAGCCCATGTCATACAAACCGGCGGCCCGACCGGGCCTAGTCCCGGCCCAAGTCCACGACTAATTACATTCCCGGGAATATAACTTTCCTGATCTTTTCTCAAAACCGTGAACCAAACATGGGTATCTAACATTCCAGGCATCACATTCCGACCTCAATGTGAGATAACCCAAAACCAAACATACCCTAAAATCTAAATATCCAAACCAAATCTGTCCGGACTAAAACAGAAACAATTGTTACTAAAGAAAAAATAATACTGAAATAATTTTTTTGCACAAAACTCTTCTTGGTATGGAGGTGATTCTGGAGGAAGATAAGCTATTGCAATATGAGTGAATACCAACTCCACCACCGTTGAAATGGCCGACCAAAGCTTCACAATCCAGCCTCGTTACAACCTCTCAGCCATACCTCATTCATTCGCCAACGATATCTCCTCCGATATAGTTTTAATCTCAAGCGTTAGAACACTTAAAATCAGTATAATTTGCCGCTCTAACCCCATATTGATAGGGGCGGCGGAAAATCTCAACCACTAAAAAGAGGGGAGACAGCCACTAGGGTACGTCTCTCAAGAGAGAAGAGAGAGTTGGCTGGTTACAAGTGTTATATACTTTATACTTATATAGGCATATGGCGTTATAATATGGTTATTATCAGTAACTTCCGGAATACTGACAATATACATCATATATCATATTTTAATTAGAATAAACAATAATTGGTTAAGGAACATTATAAGAGAACCCTTTTCGGGTTTTGCTATAAATGTTTAGCATTAAAGAAGATAATTTTGCCATGATTCAGCAGTCCCATGCATAATTTCAGTAGATTGGCTTGTACTCTTGGAAAAGCCAATATGGCCAAATTTGGAAGACCGATTCCATAAAAAAAATATGCTTATAATCCAATATCTAAAACAACAGTTACTTCTGGGAAAAAATAATAACTACCTAAATTCTAAAACTACAATTGATTCCGGACAGCAGTAGTTAAAAGAACAGCACGTATCCCTCCAAACGACATCACAAATCTCACTAGATCTGTAACAAGCGATCAAATAAAAGGTGCCATTGGTGTATTAGCACCAAAAAGTTACCAGCACACATCCCTCCAAATTTCATCATATATGGGTGAATTGCTAATGCAGAATTCGAATGTCGATTTGGTTATTGAGACAGAAGCCTCTGTTCTTGGTGATAAAGGCGTGTGAAGCCAAAACCTGTGAAGGGAAGTGGACAACAGCCATTCTAACTGCCTCCTGGTTTTGATTTTGTGATCTGCAACAAAAAGCCCACCCCATCCCAAACAAATCCCAAAAAAATAAATGAAATGCAATTCAAGAGTGGGGGATTATGCAAAAGAGGAGGGGATGTAGTTGGGTTACATGTGTCAGGTTTACAAATTACGGAGTATATATTGGGTTAGGGTAAAAAAATAACTCATACAGTCATACACTAAATATATTTTAAGCTATACGTAGACAAATTATTTATGCTATATAGATTTGTCACAATTGTATTTTTGTTATTTTATAGATCACTTTGTTATTATTCACTGCATAATTATTTCAGCTTATACGAGAGCTGCGTAACAAAGAAATGCCGGGTTCAACCAACACGAACCCAACAAACAAACCCCAACCATTTGAAACTCGAAAAAGGCCCGAAATTTTATGGGTCAGTTTTGATCTCTAAAAGTAAGCATGTGACAGCTAAACGTATCTGGATTCCAACTAGGGTCTCAGCTCAAATCTGAAACCTGTCCATACCCACCCTTACTACTGAGAAAGAGACAACAGACGTTCAAGAATACTCTACCTTGGCTGCAGAAGGCGGGAAAACATCTCTATAGAAGCATCATACTGGCATCCAGTAAGAAAGCGTTCCACATCGTCAATCACTGCGTTTCGAGGAATACCTTGCAGTACAATCTGAAAAAAAGGGGCAAATCAGAACCCAAAAAAACTATGGTTGTTGGGTTCTTACTGATTTCCCATCATGCAATTTCACATCATGAATGACTTGAGCAAAAGCAGGACAATAGTTTTTTCTTACTGATTTTCCATCATGCGATTTCAAATTCTCCCATTGCGTGCGTTCAACCTATCACCAAAAGAAACAATTGGATCCTCCAAAGTTCTTCAAAGAAAAATACAGATCATGCCCCCACAGTCTCACTCTCACCCTAACCCCACATTCTACATCAGCAAGTATAAGAAAATAGAAAATACCTTTGAGAGACCACCTTGCCGAGTGGTCTTTGGTGTAACTGCTCTGACTGCAGCTGAGTAATCAGCTTGTGAAGGGAATTGAATTACTCTGTGTTCACAAGAATTACATTAACAGTTGAAAAAAAAACAATCTGATGTTTTAAAGTATTTTATAATGGTTTTAGTATTTATTTATTAATTTAAGGAAAAATTTACATAAATAATCTCAACTATCAACGGTCTTCTCATATTGATCTCAATTATTAGTAATTCTGATATAATCCGAATTATTGTGGGTATCTTCTCGAAATAAACCGATAACCTGAATAAATCAGTTCAGCAGGTCACCCGGACACGTGTTTTATACTTATTGGTTAATATTTTATTCTATTTTTTCTTTTTCTTTTCTCTCCTTCATCTTTCTTCGCACTGAGGTTTGGGCGGGCACACTAGCGTTTCAGGAAAAACGCCGGCCAGTCTTTGTTCAACCGTCACCATTAAGGCCGGCCACCAGCTGTAGATCTTTGATGACCGGCCATTTGTTGCAGTGGCTCTTCGAGGATGGCTGTCCATCCATCCGTATGTCCGTCTTTATCGTCGATGCTCCGTCAATCTCTGTTGTTCTTCGACGCCGTCCCCTGTCCACCCCAAATGTTCTCTGTAGCATCCACCCGTTCTTCCCAGCTGGTCTGGTCTCCAACGTTTCATTCGTCTATCTCCCAATCAAACAATTTCAGATTGACCTAATCAAAACCTTCAAAATCTGAAATTGAAAGCATGAACTGCGAATTTGAGGTGCAGATTCAGAACGAAAGAAAGGAAGGAAATTTCCATAGGAGGTGGAGGGAGAAAAAGAGAGACACGGAGGAAGCATGGGGAGTAAAGAAAGTCCAACGGCGATGAAGCACTGTGAGAGAAGAGGAAGCACGGTTGTTAAGCTTTTTTTAATTTTCTTTTTACTTTTTTTACCTGTTTAACAGCTTACATGTAACCTGGATCAATATAGGGAGACCTCTGGTAAATTTGAGATTATTTCAGAATTACGTATATTTAGGATTAATATTAGAAGACCCCTAATAGTTGGGATTATTTATGTGATTTTTTCCTTAATTTAATTTCCTAAATGTATCCGATATCTTGACAGCATGATGCCAGTTTCTATCATGTCAAAATTTATAAACCAGTAAAAAAGCCAAACTAACAAACTAATGTTTGTTCAGGATATTCTCTGAAGACAGACTTTCATACTTCGTATATTGCAAAGAGGAAAAAGATAATAGTTGTTTGAAAAGAGGTGAGTTTCAACTGAATGGAACACTAGAAAATTCAAATAGAAGTCTGAATAAGACACTACGCTGCATTGCCACTGAAGTTTGGGAGGTAATCAATCTTGATATCTTCCGGCGTCAAATTAGAGTCTCCCATCATAGTTATAATATCAGTCTTCGTTGTATACCTGCCAAGCAAATTTATCCTCCCATACACTTTACCTGTAGAGAGAGAGCAAAAGAGATTCAGAAGCTTCAATGAAATTGGTGGGCAATCATGATATGTTCAAGATTTCACAGTGAATTGAAAATGAAATTCAATTGAAATTAATAAACTGCTAGAAAGTGTTATACTCCATTTGGTAAGGAGAAGCATTTCAACAGATTTAGTTAAACTATTAGAAATGGTAGACAATTTGCGTCCATTTCTAATATGGAACTCAAAAAAGAACAAAATTGTAGCACACCAAATGCAAAAAAGCAGCTGCATATATGAAATGCACACCAAATCACACCTAAAAACAATTTCCATAAACCCTAACCTCATACCACGCAGTGCGTTGAGAGATACATAAAATGTAGAAGTTGGAAAACGGGAAATTAGAAACTACCATTAGGTTCAAAATTGGGTATCGGTCTAGGAGGAAAGTTCCCACGTTGCGGTTGCTGCGGTGGTGCAGGTGGCGGAGTCTGAGCTTCCGTGGTAAACAGTCCGGAAATGTTGAAGCGGGGCAAGGAAAACTGTTGATTCCTCAAGATTGCCTGGATCGGACGACTTGATCTCGCAGAGACTCGGAGAAGGCTAATCATTTTTCGGCTGGAAGGTGGAGGATTTGGGATCCGCAGGAGGCTGCGGCGTCCAGGAAACAGCTACGGACTGGCAAGACGTTCTCTTCCGACGCACAAAAAAATTAATGACACTGTTCACCGTATGATGCATACTCCCTCCTTCCCCTTTTAAATGTTTCGGAAGAAGGTGTCACAAGTTTTAAGAAAAGTATGTTTGTGTGGTTGATATTAATAGATAAAGTAAGAATAAAGTAAGAATGATTTTGAGCCACACAAATTTTACCAAATAAGATATGAGACAATTAAATAGGGACATCCCAATATGGTAAAATGAGACATTTAAAAGGGGACAGAGGGAGTATATGACATGAGAAATTGTCAATTAAAAAATAACAAATAGAATATTTCTATCATTATTTGAACGGTCTTATATGTTTTGGTATGTTTTTCTCTATAATGTCTAACAAAATTTCTAGATGTAGACATTATGGTTGACATTGATGAGAAAAACTTACCAAAAATACATAAAACCGTGGAAAGAAGAAGAGAGAAATGTCATAAATTTAATTTTTTTTGTCTATGTCTCACATGCCACATGTGCACCGTGCACATTGTAGCATTGGAGATGCTCTAAGCTTTTAGTGTTTACTCACTTTTAGACGCGTTTGTGAGACTTTTTACTTGTATTGAAAAAACACGAACAATATTTTTCCATCTGTTTTTAGTGTTTACACACTTTTAGGGCACGTTTACTTCTTGGGTTAGTAAACGATACTTATTAAGACTCGCGTTAATAAACGGTAGGTGTTATGGGATAAAGGGGTAGGGGTAGGTGCTTATTACTTCACTCTTGACCTCCACCCCTTCCCTACCCTTACCCTTACCACGACCTTACCCTTCATCCCTACACCCACCCATACCAACCCCCACCCTACTTGTAGGGGGTGGGTCAAGGTAGGGGCAAGTGTTATGGGGTAAAGGGGTAGGGGTCAGGGTATGGTAATGGGAGTGGGTGGGGTCGGGGTCGGGGTTGGGGGTGGGGTCGAGGTAGAGGCAGGTGGTAGGGGTAAAAGGGTAGGGACGAGGTAAGGGGTACAAGTGGGGGTAGGGGGTCGAGGTAGGGGGTTAGGGTCGGGTTAGGGAAGGGGGCGGGGGTAGGGAGTGGGATCGGGGTCGGGTCAAGGTAGGGGGAAGATGGTAGGGGGTAAAGGGGTAGGGTAAGGGGTGATGGTGGGGTGGGGTAGGGCAGGTGGTGGAGGGTAAGGTCGGGGTCGGGGTAAGGTGGGGGTGGGGTATGGTCGGGTCAAGGGTGGAGGTGGTGTCAGGGGGTCAAGGTGGGGTCGGGGTCGGCGTGGGGTCGGGGGTTCGGGGTGGGGTCGGGGGCAAGGGTGGGGCAGGGCGGGGTAGTGGGATAGCAATAGGGTAAGGGTAAGGGGTAAAAGTAAGGGTAAATTTGGAAACTGAAAAAGCTTAAAGTGCCGCTTAATTAATACATGGGGGTGGTATGCTTAGTATGCGGCATTTTAAGCACCCCCTTCGGTTAGTAAGCAGTGTTTTAAGCAACTTGCGTATTTACTTCACATGTCTTACTAACATAACTGTGACGTTAGCAGCGAAGTAAACGTCTCCTTAGACACGTTTGTGAGACTTTTTGCTTGTAAACTCAATGTTCATAGATAAAAAAACATTCACAAGCGTATATGTACACCAATAATTGTTGTCAATGCATTTGTGTCGCTATAATATGTTACATACTAGTACCTTCGTCCCATTTTCTGTGTCAGATGTAATTAGAAATAAAATGATTTAAAAAGTAAAATTATGATCAAGATATGAGTATAATAAAATGAATTGTTGTATATCTCATAGTTTTTCCCATAAAAAGAATTTTGACATTTATTTTGAAACAACCCAAAAAAGAAAGTAAAACAGAAAAATGGGACTAAAGTAGTATTCGTTTTGTAAAACAAGTACTCCACCTGTGGGTTACAGGGAGTGAAGTATAGTATGTAACTAATAGAAATTCATAGTGAATCAACCAACCGGAAAACATAAAATAAAATAAGAAGTCAAGTCTAGTAGGAGATTAAAAAATAATGTTCGAAATTAAATATAAATCATGATGTCGAAAAAAATGAAAAAATGAAAAAATGAAAAAATGAAAAAATAAATCATGATGCGGTAAAATAAAATAGGTATACATGTATTTAAAGTAAATTGTCAAGAAAAACTACAAAATATTGTAAACTTTTTGTATACAACATTAAATGCCAATGAAAGTAATTTGATTATTTAATACAATTAGCATGACTTACATACCTTCATTTTTGTTTTTTTACCTAATTAATTAAAAGTTATATAACTTATTTCATTACTCAATGTTGGCATATAGTTTGTACCATTTTGTTTTTAAAATTGATAACTTTTCCCCAACTTTCCCTTGACACAAATATATGGATGTTTAGATCTACTTTAAAAACAGTTTCTGCTCTTTAGAGAGTAGAAACAGATATTAGAGTGTTTGAATGAAAGTGCATAAATACTTCTAGGTGCTCCAAATTGTAAAAAAATTGATTCTAACTCTGCTTCTACTGTGAAAAAGAAGCACAAGCAAACCCAATTTCGAACACCCCATAATCACCTTCTAACTGTCTCTGCTTCAACTTCCCTTGGCTACCGAATCACGCTATGAGTTTGCCTTTTGAGTGCTACAAAAATTTCATTATCATCCCTAATCACCATATGTCAAGCCTCAGATAGTCGCATATACCACCATGAGTCCATGAGTGTCAAGAGCAACATCAACATTAATTAAAAAACAATGGCAATAAATAGAGTTAATATAATGGATCTGGTTCTCAAGTCCAGATTGCACAACAACTGATACAGAACTACTGGTTTATGATTGATGTAGATGTCGTTGTGGCTGCTATCTCTGGGCAAACTGATGGGGGCTATAGTTCAGTGTACGAAGCTAACTATTACTAGTAATATACGGAGTATTTTTTTGGCAAAAGCTAGTAATATTTCTCTTGAGAACGCTAGGAACTCAGATCAGCTTGCTCCATGTTCCTTGTTTTACGTGCTAGGCCTAGGAACATCAAATTGTATAATTGATGCGGTGTATGGTTAAATCATGGATGACATCTTTCTTGTGTTGTTTGCAAAAACAAAATAATTTTTTTATAAACTTATTCATTGAATGCTTGGAATACATCTTTATTGAAAATACATATGCCTTAGCCCTTTCACAAAGTGAAGAATTATCTAATCTAGCTACTCTTGTACTCTATTTACAAAGTAATTAATACTGTTGTTGGGTTAATGGACCCGATAGCAATACGACCCATCATCCCTTAGCAAAGAGTGTTGGGTTAATGGGCTCGATAGCGGAACGACCCATCATCCCTTGGCAAAGGAACCGATTAAGATCTAGTTCAGGCATGATCAAACAAGGGATCCAGCTAGACGTTCGTCTTCTCAGAGCGGACGACCGATTTCAATCGCCTTGGCCCAGTGAACCAGATGATGACCCAAGGGCCAAGGGGAGGACGATGAGCATGGGCCGAACGGAGTCAACATCTTTATGCTCATATGCACCCAGAACTCAACGGCAAGTGGACGCCCGACCAGACCTCTTGGCGGGAAACTAAGATATTGACGGGAAGCGCATTTAATGCATTAGATTTGATGGTTGAGAGGCTAGTCACTCACATTCATGCACGTCATCGGTATCACCTACTTCTTGGTACTATGAATAGTAACATTCATTCCATTGTAAATGGTTGACAACTTATTCACTCTAGCAATAACAAGTATCTCTAGCTCTTCCGATTGAGATAGACGAACGACCTCCGGGCTTGTAGTTGAAGTGTGTTGTGTAAGGATCCTTATTAACATTTAATAAGATACGACTCACTTACTACTCATTTCATTTACCCATCTTTGCTTGTTTGCATCATATATCCACTAAACAATCCATTCAAAATCCATAGAAAGGTGTTGGATCTTTGGATTGAAGAAATAAATCTCGACATCTGTTCTAGTTTTGTAGCTTACGTAATTTGGTTCCCTTTACTATTCCCCTATATATTAAGCTCTTTCATGTATTAGGATTTAGGAATCTCTTTATGTTTGTATGATACCATCAAAGAGACTATTTGCAAAATAAAAATTATAATGAAATCCAAAACAGGTCAAACTTCACTACCCACATAGTAAAATAATTTTATAGTCCCCAAAAATTAATACTTCGTACCTTTTGCTCAGAAAAAGGCTATCAAAAACAATATATATTCCATATAGAAAGCATCTTTTTCATTGCAAATCCTGTCAAAATATAAACTTAAAGAATAATGATATACATATACAATCCAAAATGCATACCTATGAATATATCGACAATGGTGGATGGCAGGAAAAAACATGATTGACAAGGTTAATGTAATGTTTTTGTATAAATTGGTTGAAAATTAGGTTCAAGTTAGTTTAAAAAAATTATATATACAAACTGATGTAATATGAAAGATAATAATAATTCATGAATTTTGATATATTTTTTGTAAAAAAGCGGAGAAAACATAAAATATGTATAGTACTTCAAAAAAATGGAGATTCCTTTTAAACACGGGTCCCACACTTTTCTCTTCTTTTTCTCTAATGCACATGACTTTCAAAAGTAATTCTGAAGGGAAAGTCACCAAATTGGTTGGCGGCTTTCTAAGCAGTCCTTTCATTTGGTGATTTTCGTTAACCACATTTCGATCAAGCAATATTTTTTATAATACTTTTTATTCGATCCTAATTGTGTAATTTTTTTGTTTAGCATTATTTAATAGAACCTCGAACTAGAGTACTTCTATTTGACCAATTTTCCAAAATAGGCTTAAGAATATGGCTTTCTTAATAGAACTACTCCCTCCGGTCCTTATTAAACTTTACACTTTGACTTCACATATATTAAGGATTTTTTTTGACTTTACTGTAGAGTACACTGTTTGGCACCGTTTGACACTGTTTTGCACTGTTTGGTGTAGATTTGTTTGCCAAATAAAGTAAATAAGGAAGTGTAAAGTTAATTAAGGACGGAAGGAGTATAACATTTCCTCCTAAAATAGAAATAAAGTTCAAACATTCTAGA